CAGTGTGGCTGGGGTCAGACGTTAACGCCTGCAGTGTAGCTGGGGTCAGTCGTTAACGCTTGCAGTGTGGCTGGGGTCAGTCGTTAACGCCTGCAGTGTGGCTGGGGTCAGTCGTTAACGCCTGCAGTGTGGCTGGGGTCAGTCGTTAACGCCTGCAGTGTGGCTGGGGTCAGTCGGTAACGCCTGCAGTGTGGCTGGGGTCAGTCGTTAACGCCTGCAGTGTAGCTGGGGTCAGTCGTTAACGCCTGCAGTGTGGCTGGGGTCAGTCACTAACGCCTGCAGTGTGGCTGGGGTCAGTCGTTGTAGCTTTAATGCTGAACGTTAGAATTGGTCGTTGTCGCTGCAGTGTGTTTAGGCAATAATGTCTGCACGTGCTATAGGTGTTATGCAACAGTAGAAGGCGTCCATAGGCAGCAAGCCTGAATAGGCATCGAACAGAATCAATTAAAAATACTTAGAGAGAGTTTCGTCGCATACGCGACGTACACTTTATTAACGTTAAATCACTACAGATTCAAACACCGATCTTCACTCGAAACATTTGCCACATTGATTTCAAGAATTTTCACCTTGTAGTCGGATCCCGTTTCAAATACAAAATGGCCGACCGGCCACCATGGCTACACCACTTGACGCGACTGCACGAATATTAAACCACAAAACCAATCTCACTTCTAATGCTTTCTAGACGTGCACGGGGCTTCTATCTTGCTGGCATCATACAAATTATTGCACTCTAGTTCCGAATTTTACCGAAAATTCAAAGGAAAAGGCAACTCCTAGACAAAATAGTGTAACGCGGCGAACAATTTGCGCATGATTATTAATACTTGCCACCTATAGGTAAACTGACTGTCACTAGCTGTAGTTACTAATACTGATAAATGTGTGTCAAGTTCACTGAAGTATATAACATATATTGTTATAGTTCAGTGGTCAAGTTACTAGCGATGAGAGAAGAATACGCGGCAGTCCGCTTGCCGGCGCGCATGCGCGATGACCTGCTGACGTTGATAATGACGTCACGATGACCGTAACCTGATCACGTTAACGTTTAACGTTTACAAATACAATAAAAACATTTTTACAAACGTTTAGAAAACGTTATAAAAACCCTACACATTTACCTTATATAATCGTTTCCAAAAACCTTGTTTAATTGCGTTGGCACTTTCTGGGCGCGTTCTCCCAACTTGCACCAGAGCGCGAAATGTTCGCAGTTGTTAATAAGCATGTCGTAACCGCCATTACAGACGGTACCAATACCTTGTACATCTCCGATCTGGCTTTCCGCTCGCTTTATCACCGTTTCCGGCGGGTCGCTCTCCTCCGGTGTAGACGTGCCGGTTAGGAAATATTTCGCGTACCATATTTTGCACATTTCCCATGTTTTGCTCATACCGTAACGGTAGATCTCAAGATTGCCACCATCTAGGAATTCGTCGAGGGTATCTCTGCGTATT